GTTATTAAAAACTCTAAAATATTCAGTAAAAGCAGCCAAACAAGGCATCTGCCCATCTTAGATTCAGTGAAATGAAGCAGCAAGCATTTTGTTTGCAATATTAGTCCCTTAAAAATGAGCAGTAGCATGGATTTACTTGGATTTTCTCACTGCCTAAATCTTTTTTTTTTTGGTCCCCCTCTCTCATGGAAGAGAAGGAGAAACAGAGGACCAGTTGATAAAAAAAAAAAAGAAAATCTCCTGGCCAAACTAAAACCCTCATCACAGGGGGGTGGAGTGAAWAAAGCCTCCTGAATTTTCCCTCAGGTCTTTGTGAACATGGCGCTTCTCTGTTCGCCTCATGCTGCTCCAACATCCGACACCGCTTACAGACCAAAGGGACTGGCACGTATTACAAGCATTTTGGTGGATCTCAATAAAAAAAGATTAGTAATGGAAATCAAAGGATGCTGCTTATGCAGATAATAAGTCATGTTGATGCAGTTTAACAGGCAAAAGTAGCAGTAATGAACATCTGCTCAGACACTAATTTGTATTCCTTCAGCTTAACTACATGTCTTCCAACAGCAGTCAAGGCAGCCGTCAATCATCCTGATTAAGTCTGGCTTTTACTTTAACATAAAGTTGCCTCAGTGCACATCGTGTATGTTGAGTGCTTACATTTTGCTCTGTTTTTCTCATTTCCTCCTAAACCACAAGCAAACCATCCTCCATTCCTGTTTGCACAATACACAGTGCCGTGAAAGGCTTAAGGGAGGTGTGTTTGTTTTGTTTCTCTTTGTGTCTTGTTCCAGCATGGAGGACAGACGTCCAGTGATCGGCGAGGCTCTTCCTCGCTCGCACTGTTAGTCAATTAGAGCTGTCATTAAAGACAGCGGTGGCRAGGGAAATAAAAGCATTGCTGTGGATTTGTCWGTGCTACGCTGATTTCCATCCTTAAATCCTCTCCAGATGAAGAGACGGCAATAATTGGGATTCTGACAGTGTGTTATGGGGACTCATTTCCTGCTTTCACTCCCTTCCCCCCGCTTTTCCATGCAATCATGTCCATCTAATCATGTCTGCACAGCACCTATTTTTGCACTCGATCCCCTTAACTCCCTTTATCTACAGCCATGTTTGGTTGAAGAATTACTGAAGCCCTTTCCTTTTAATCTAATTGCTCTGGTTCAACAAGAGTAGCCTTACTTCTCTGTACTTATTATCACTAATGCACACTACAACACTGATATTAGAGACCCTATGGTCTTGTTCCAAATTCTGTACACCTTTACCAAAAAGGATGTGTCCATCATGTCACTAACAGAAAAGAAACAAGTGACACATAGTATATTAAAGGGCCAATATTATGTGCTTCTCAGGCATTCATTCAAATACTATACCATAATAAAGTATCTATGTCACCTTTAGTTGTTATTAAAATGCTGTTTTTATGTTTAAATAGAAAATAAATTTATCTTCTCATCACTTCCTCTTCTAAACGCCTTGAAATTGGCCTCTGTCTCTTTAAGAACCACCTTCTGCTTCCGTTTTGCCCATTTCAGTGAGGGGGAGGTGGGGCTGCGATGATGCAGTTTACTTGGCATCTGAAAATACATTTCCTCTAAGGTATTTTTAATCTGAAAAGAGCTTCACTGAGTGAGAACTAATGTTGAGAGCTCAGCAGATACAGTTTAAGTTTCACTTTCACTTTCATCCAAGAGCCTGCAGGAGTCATGGGCGGGGTGTGTGGGGTGGAGAGGTGTGCTCCGTGATGAGGAATTTCGGCTTAAAGACACGTCCCAGAGGTCCACACCTGTCGTTTTGCTCCTCAGCATGGCTGCAGGATTACTCAAATATGCATGAATGAGTCAAAGCAAGGCTTTGGGCATGTTTTTTATGAGAGTATAACATTATAACATGATATAAAACTCAAAAAAGTTGATTTTACATTATATTGCCCCTTTAAATTTGATTTAAATATGGAATCCATCCATCCATCCATTTTCTGTACACGCTTCTTCCTTTTTTTCAGGGTTGCGTGGGTCACTGTTGCCCATATCCAGCAGTCACAGTAAAATAAATATGGAATTTTAATTCTAAAGTTAACAAAACATTTCATAAAAGCAAAAGTATGTGTATGTGATTTGACAATTGTTCTCCTTCTTCTGCAAATATCTAAATAGGTTTTACATTTGAACTTAATTTATGCCATTATTCCAGACACAACTGTATACTCCCACCCTGTAGAAAAGAAAAGAAAAAAAAATACACCAAGCCACAAACTGTGTTTTCAGGATGCTTTTCTTCGCTCCCTAAACACAGCCACCGACACTAACATTCATAAGAAATAAATCAAATTGTTGTTATCGCTTTGACAGATTGTCCCTATCCAAACTTTCACTACTCAATAACATGAGCCACAGTCAAGACCCTTTAACTTCACAATAGCATGGGGTTAGATGATCAGATTACACCGAAAGACACACATGGGCATTGTTAAGGGAGTTTGCGATTCCTCTCATGAACATGGCTCTCATTGTGCCCCACTAAAGAAAATACTTTTCACTATGGAAAGAATGGTAAGGGCAAACAGGACCCGATGTGTCTCTGCGGTGTACCATCTCCTCAAGGCTCTGAGGGGAAATTAGATCTCTCTTTCTAAGACCATCTCTGCTAAAAGGCCCTTGTAAGGTTCCTTGCATTCATAGGGCTTCTTAGAGACGAAACTTAATCTCACTTGTAAGACAACTGCAGCGAAAAAGAGCTCAGCAATTTAATGTAAGCACCCCTTTCTGCTGTCAATATTTTGACAGATTTCATGACAGCGTAATTATTTGCAAGGATCCCTGCCAAGGGTTTAATTGTTACATGCGTAATTACACGTTTAGTTGAGGAGACACTGGAACCGAGCTTTGGTTTTATTATTACCGTTACAGCACAAATAGTGCCGTGCATCTTGACTGGTTCATGTGGCATTATGGCATCATAATTCAGCTTTGAAAGAGGATATCGCACAATCTCTTTGGTGGCACCTCTCATAAATCAGTTCATTACCCCATAATATCGGCAGACAAAGCACATCTTTCACAGATCAATTCATTATGCWGCCTCTTGCAGCTGAAAGGCAGCGGTTGACCACAGCTTCAAGTGCTGATATCAACTTTCAGTGTTTAGAAAGATGACTGAAAAGTGGGTGAATTGTGCCTTCCATCAAAAAGGGGATTTTCAACAAAGGGGAAACCACCAGAGTAATATCAGTTTTAACTCTACTGATTTTTATATCCTTTGTACAGTATAAAACCCACTACAAGTAGTTTATTCTGAGTTTAATAACTATTGTATATAATAAATAAATTAGAGGTGAACATTAGAAAAACTAGCAAAGTGAAATAATATTGATTGCTCATTCGTCATTTTCTTTTCTGTYATCACTATCATCTAAASCAGGYGTGGTTTACAAGGACAGTGAGATTCCGTTGAATTGGCCAAAAATAAAAACTAAATGCCTGCAAAACATGATGTGAGGTACTTGAAATACAATGGTCTAAAGTTTCAATATTCAGTGTGATGAGGTAGTACTGAGGTTTAAAATAGTGTGTTCAGATGGTTTTGTGTTTGTCAAAATTTCTATGGTAAAACAAATATGTTGCTTTTAATATTGAAGTTGTGCCAGTGAAGAAGAAAATGTAATAAAAAAACATATTATTTAATTTATTTTAGTTAAACACTCCTGTGAAAAAGATTTTTTCTCTATCATTTTAGCTTTAAAAAAAAAAGAAAACATGACTAAGGATTCACTTGAGTTYTTAGGTCAAAATGTGGATTTATAGGTGGCTGCCAGAGCACCAGCCTGCATTTCTTATGGTGAGCCTTGTCCCTCTCCTCATTAGTAGTCATTGAACATACCCGGCAGTGTTTGTCAGGCAGCACCCATCCCATTTTCCCTCCAAACATACAGACACTGGGAGATGTGCTGTAATTACAGGCGATCATTTGAGAGGCAGCAAAAAACTGAACCAAAATGCAGGTGGGTGGTTTGTGGTACTGGGCTGGATCAGCATGACTCCAGTCTGCAGGCTGTACGCTGTCATGCTGCTTCAAGTGATCAAGACCTCCAACCACAAGGACCAAATACCATCTGCTGAGAGCTGATGGGGCATGCTGCAGGTAAATGTTGGGAGCGCCGATGTTTTGTAGAGCCTAATTAATTTTCCTGCGAGGAATTCAAATTGCCAATTTTGAAAAACGTTTTCTTTGTTTTGCTGGACAAGAGGTCTCGTGCCAAAAGATAGTTACAATCTGCMTTTTAAAGGAATAAAATTCATATTTCTGTTTTATGACTGAATTTGATTCAGTTTGTACAGAAAGGATGGTTTTTGCAGGGGGGAAATAAATAAATCACTTAACTGTCAAAAACTTAGAAATAGAAAAATAAACCTGAACATTTATGTGCTACAAAATGAAACATATGTTCAATCAATGCTTCTTTTCAATAAATACAGAGGACTGTATATTAATTCTAGAGAGGTAATATGTATTTTTTTTCCTGGACAAGTAGTAGTTTAAGATTTTGCCACATTGAAAAGAAATGTAGCTCAGAAACCTGCACTACAGTTATATGTTTTTCAACAGCATTTGTGTATTTTTAGACAAACAGAAGTGGGAATTACCAACACGCCACAGTTCACAGTAACAATACTGGAAAAAGCAAAGAATGAGATTACGAAGTGAAAATGTGATGACAGCTTAAGTTAAATATTCCAGGCACAGGATTTACACCTTCCACCATTTTTTCATCCCTGACCTTATATTACAACTAAATGAGGCTGAATAGATTCTTGGAACAACTTGGTGGGGAATTTGAACTTACCTAAAATAACCACGTGCTGAATCCTTTAGTGGTTTGATCTTTTATAATCAGAGAACAGACTGATTCACTGACAGTATGATAAAAAACATAATAACACCACACATACCTCGACAAACGGTTCCATTTTCCACAGCCTCGTTCCCGGCTTTGCACATGCAGCGTCCGATGGGCACCATCCATTCTCCGTCTCCATTGCAGTAAAGCTTTATAGGCACGTCCACCTCCTCTGCGTTGGGGATGCAAACACCCCTTGCAGAGACCAGCGAGGTGCTCTCCGCTCCTGACAGCGTCTCCTGGAACAATGCCCCGTTAGTGATGATTCGAGAACACTTCCGGTAGAAGACTCGAACTGCAATGAGAGACATGCAGCCGCCGTAGTCCTGGAAGGCCAGGTAGAAGCCATTTCTCGACACGGGACCGAAGCTTCGCACTTCAGTGTTGATCTTCATCACTCTGCCCCCAAGGTCCACCTGGGAGAAGCTCTCATCTGCTGCAATGGTGTCAACCTTAATCCATGGGTTTTCCATCCATGGTGGAGATGTTCTGGTGGCTGTGTCAGAATCTGATTCATAGTAATAAAGGTTAAAAGTTTCTTTACAGGAGCCTGGAACGTTGGGGATGCTACTGCAGTCCCTGACGGAGAATTTCATCTCCACGTGGATCCTCTGTGCGCCACGTCGTCGGATGTATTTTGTCCGTACCCAGTTGTTCTGATTGCTGTCAAAAACATTACACACCTGGTACGTCCTGATGGTGTTCATGTTTTCATCATAACCGCTCACCTCCTCCCACTGTTGAAGGACACAAAAAATGAGACAAGTTAATATCATTTCCACGTGAGTACCTTCTACAAAAGATTTTGACTTTCACACAAAACTTATGGAAAAATAAACTAACACATAATGATTGAGGCATTAAGCTACTTTGATTAATTTAATTTTGTGTAACTGAGGTGTAAAGCAGGAAATGGGCTGCATGTTTCCTACTAAGTAAACTTTTGGTGAAACAACTTTTTAAAGAATATTTCAAGTAAGTTTTCACAGGCACTTATTATAATGTTGAAAATCCATCAGAGATCAACTCAGCAACATTTTTAAACCAATTACCTGTTGTTAAAAACGTATTATCTTTAATAAGGCACYATAAAGATGCATTCCGTATTTTTTTAACAAATGGGACATAGCCTTTCCTGCATGTCCTCCGATTTCTCAGGCCTACACTTATTTCATTATAACCTTACTTTAAACTTCACTAAATATGTATTTATAATATATTTATATATTAAGCCAGCTGTAATTATTAGGAAAATGTGACAAATTTCCCACCGCCTAAGTTAAAGTAACAATCTTATTAAACGAGTAATCATATAAAAATATAATCAAGGGACACATTTGACTGTAGATCTTTGTGCACGATGTTCTACTTCAAAGTCCACATACTGCATGCCAATTATTACTCACTTTGACTATAAAATCAAGATGAAACCTCTGGTTTGCCAGCTCCTTGGCCATGGATCAAACCAGATTTACACACAATTCTATCCAACAAGTACTGCAGGTCATGACCTCTACCTCAGCATTTCAGTCACAAAGACAAAAAGAAAAAAAAAGTTAGTTCTCCGCCCTCTTGAACAACTTTGCATCTGGTGCAAACTCTACTGCCTCCCTCCTTCACTCTTCACTTCACAGCTGATGTAATTTCTCAAATTAGTGCCCTCTTAGTGAGGATTTTGACAGATTTGGACGGGTTGGGAGAAGAAAGTCACCTCTCTCACTGCAAACACGCATTCTGTCAAACGCTCTGACTAATTAGCACAGCTTTAGTTCTTAAATCCCATGTCCCAATTAACCACTGCAAGTGTGACGCTTGGTTTGACCTGAACTATTACAAAGTGTGAACATACACAAGAAGGTCAGATGTGTAGCCAAAAAAAAAATCTAAATAACAGGAGAAAAAAGAAAATGCTGATCAAAAGAATAAGCTATACTGATTTTTTATTGACAATTCACATCATTTAGTTTATATTGGAGATCTGAAAAGGACGGCAATTTTTTAAAAAGTTTGATTGGCAAGATCATCACTCTAAATGTTCCTTCATTGGCTTTAAAAAGAGCAAGCACTTATTAGGTAAGACTGCATGAGTTGTTCACAGGTTTCGAATGGTAGGATTTGTGGATAAATCTGTCTTTTGCCCAGCACTGACAGACATCATCATCCCAGGTCATGAGCAACCATTGACCTTCCCACTTGTTGAGGAGCAGCGGGGAAGCTGTGGGCCAATTAAACAAGAGCGGACAGCCTGTTCTGCTGGGTGCAGAGCGCTGAACAATCAGAGTTTAATAAAATGAATGTGGAGACAGGTGGGGGTTGCTGCTAATGAGGGATGCAGACAGGGGAAACTCCAGGGGAAAAAAGTGTTGGCAGCAATGTGGGGGAAAGAAGGGGGTGAGCTGGACAAAAAAAAAGACCCCAAACAAAATGTGTTTTGATGAAGGGCCCCTTTTTGTCCTGTCATGGCCTTTTTGCCCTCCTTTCATCACAACTAGTAGAGGGAAGCAAATGGGGCATAATAAGAGCCTAACGATCAAGCACAGAGTGTGAAATTAGAAGAAACGTCTTCATTTTCACAGCTTTTTCCCCTGACTCTTATCAAAAGTGCCCTAAAAGGGCGGTCGTGTTTTAAGTGCAGCAGGTGGAGGTAACACYGGTGGTAAATGTCAAGAGAGATCAATTGGAGGGAATGACATTCCTTCTGAGCAAAACGAACACAAACRCATCAGATTATTGTGCTGAGATCCTGTTTTCCATTGGGCAAAAGGGTTATTTCTCACTGCGGAAGTCTAMAGCTAAAGGATTATAGACACAGAGTGTTTGACTTAAAATATAAAATTCTTGAGACCAGAATCATCAGATGTTTCCTAATGACCAAATATTATTCATAAAACCTCTGAAACTTTAAAATATTTGGGGTAAATWACAATCTACTTTGAGATTATCAACAAAGATATGTGTTTTCATGGTACACAGGCTTCCTTCCACAATGAAACACACTCTTATGATGAAAACCCAATGGTGTGAAACTGAATGCTCGACTGCCTCCAAACAAAACAACACTGTTTTATGTTTTAATTGCTCTCATTGGGGTCCTGAAACTAACATTCCAGAATTGTGTGGTTAACACAAATGGTTCTTAATGTTTGATGGATGGATGGTTGTTGAGTTTAACGTGTTCCACATAAACTAAAATTAATTCGAGACAACTTTGTGTGATATTTATCAAGTCTAGAATTTAAAATAAAATAGTATCAAAACAACATTATTAAGCGTATTTTCTAGACTACAAGCCAGACTTGTTTCACATGCTTTGAATACCRCAGCTTAAACAATGATCTGAATAACTGATGAATTTTTACCACATATGGGACACATGTGCTGTTTTTGTGCACCATGCAAATTAGGGCTGGGCAATATGGCCTAAAATCAATATCACAATATCCTGACCAGTTCACCTCGATGACGATAAATGCACGATAACTCTTACCACACACAAGTACACGGTATAGTATAGTCATAACACTATACACTGTGTCCATGTTCTTAGTCAAAGTACACAGTTTAGATTTTGAAAAGCTTTTCTGTAGTTTATATTTGTCATTTTAGTGTTTTTAATATATTTAATAAAACATTTTTGGCAAGAATTGAGTCAGATATAGTTATACAAATATTTAACCATCTCCATAACTTTTCAGTGCAAACAAACACATTATGTATGTACTATAACTTTATATTTAAAAATATTTACCAAATGTGTTTTTTTGTACTGCACAAAATAACTTAACTACCTTTTTTATTTGTTAGACTGACTGCTCTCTCTATTAAAATAACTATTTCTTTCAAAAAGATTATATGTAATCATTTAATACTATTTATTCTTCATATTCGATCATTTATTGAATCACAGATCAGTTCAGTCACAGTATGGTTTTAAATATAAGCAAGCTAGTATAATGTGAAGAATGACATTTGTAGATATGATACACTACATAGAAGGTTTTTTCTTTTTCTTTGTTTGTGGGGGGTAACGCTAAGCGGAGACTCATCTTTTCTATAATWTGGGACAAACAAATGTTCATCTGTTAGAGTTAATATTGTTTTGTTAGAAGAGATGAAACAGCAGCTCTCACGGAACAACTCAGCCTCTGCGYACCTTGGCGTGCTCTTGTAACAGCGCTGCCGAGGAGGGGAGTTAGGTCACACGAGCAAAGTTGGACATATCTGATCGATAACGATGTTCTGAACACATAAACTTATAGTGTGTTCGATTTTAGATACCAACATATCGGGTAGCTCAGGAGCGAAGTGTGGAGGACGAGGTTTGCTCACTCAGGAAAGGAGCTGCAGGCTGTCCGGTGTTTATCCTGACTTCTGCACCAAAATCAAGACCCGTCCTGCTCTGCTCTGATTGGATAAAGTTGTGGAGTTTGTTTGATTTTTTTCAAAGCAGCGTCTGTTTAAACCTGTATCAGACAGGGCAGCTTTAACAAGATCGCAACAAAAAACAAGCAGGTTTCTCTTTTCCTCTTTTTTTAAATACCGAAAATACCGACATGGGTAAAATGATGTCGGTTTTTGTCATAAATGTCGGTATCGGTTATTTTTCAGTTTATCGCCCAGGCCTAATGCAAATCATGCTCTTGTGGCATTGTGCGTTGGCATTGTGCGTTGGTCAGGACCTGACAGGTGTGCGGTGCCATGTTGCTGTTTTTAAGTGCCACGTGCATTGTGTGGCCTGTATTTGTGTGGGTCAGGTGCATTGTGCTGCTTTTGTGCACCACACGCATTATGCGCATTGGGGTTGTGGTCATGTGTGATGATGGATACCCTCCAATAAAATCCTGCAGGCGCAGGATTTCTGTGTAAATATCTCATCTTACAATGTGGACACCTGAGGCTATATTCAGTATGTATAATTTATTTCTTCATTTAGTAGGTGTAGTTTATGTCCGGATGTGCTCAACAGCGCAGAAATGACGATACATAAAACTAAAAATCATTGAATTTATAGTTGAATCAACTTATTTTTGAAAGTTCAGCTTCAAGAAACCTTAACCATTTGGACTATAAACTACATTAACAACTTACAGGTCAACTGATGTGTTTAAGAGTCATTGTACTCAGAAGRAGCATTACAAAGCAAATACTCTGCAGAGAAAAATAATCTGGTGATCATATTGATTGTGCAACAAAAAATAGGACTTAGTATAATATGCAGACTGCTGCTTTTACCCACTGAAGTTACATGATATTTTACACTTCAGTGATCCTAAGAATAAGGTTCTGGATCAATATCACTTGTTCCACTCCAGGAGAAAGTTCAAATGACCTGCGATCCATAAGTGTCAATGACAAAAGGCTTCTGTTTTATCTGTAAAGCCAAATGGATTGCACTGACAGAGCTGGTTTACAGACTGGAGTTTCAGCTACAGCTAATACATTTCAACAGACAGCTGTTTTTTTTTTTTTCATTCACAAGATGAAACATTTCTGTAAATGCTTCAATTGTTTTTAGGCTTCATATCAAGTAATTACCACAACTCCAGATTAAGTAAATGCAAAAACAGAAATAAATGTACTTTTTATAAGCAGCATACTTCATTGCGATCGTCAAAACAATAACAAAGATCAGCATCTGTCTTGCATTATATTCATGGTAGAATAAAAAATTTGTACCTGCAGAATGTAAATGGTGTTGCAGGACGCTGAATAAAAAACAATGGCCGTTTTGACACATTTGTACATATTTGTTGAGATATGTCTTGGAAAAATTAAGATGTTTTCATCTCAACCCGCCTTCACTAACGCAATGCACTGTATGTGGGAGTTAATCAAGCCTTCTTTTCATGTTAAATAACTACATAAACAATAAACTGAAATCAATACCCATAATGCATTTCTCCATCCCCGTGAATCTACATGATTTTTTGGTGATTTTAAGAGATACTGCTTCTGTCACTTTATGAAAGTGAAGTTTCATAAAGAAGAAGAAACTTGACACCACAGCAAACAGTTGGTTCAGCTTTCTTAGGAAAACAGTTTCATTACTCAAGCACTGGAATGCACACACTGTCAGAACACTCAAACATTCAGGATTTTCTATTTTTTTTTTCTTTTTCCCCCCACACAACTTTGACCATGTATTTATCACATCTTGTCATTGAAATGTTTGAACTAACCTGAACTACTCTCACGATACCGAGCAACATCACACATCACCACTCTATCACTGGCAAGAGTAAATAAATAATTCACGCAAAAGCAGAGAGAGAGAAACCCAACGGAAAACTCCTGGGGCACAGTCACCCTATTTGCAGTTGTGGGAAATCTGTCAGAGCAAGAGTGCCTTCCCTAGAGGGACAGTGGACAAATGACACCCACTGTCTGCATTCAATTACTACAAGAGGCCATGGAAGCCAAATCCTGAAGGAGAGTGGGCCTCACGGAGAAGAGAAACTCATCCACTCCAAGCCTTAAGTAGAACTGTCTGCTGTAGTCAGYCTCAACTGTCCACTTCTAATGTACAACATGTGAAACACGAAAAACAATTCCATCTTTTACCTCCATCCACCAACTTACATGTGGATTATGTTTGCGAAAATTTGTGACTCATTCTAAAAATCTAATTTCACAGACTTTAATTGTGAATCACAGCRAATTAGGGGGTCTCTTTAAACTCCAGTGATCCATCATTCAACTAATTTGTAAAGGGAGTAAAAAAGGTAAATTAAAAAGTATGTCTTATTGGCTTGCTTTAATTATCCACATTTTTGGGGAAAAACAACCACAATCATATTTCTGGAAATACAATCTGCAGTTGTTTTGGTTAAAACAAAATAAATTTCGTTTGAACCAGCCTTTTTTTGCAGCATGCATTGAGCACTGCTTTCTTGTTGTGTGGCATGTCCCTAAGTGACACTAGATTTACTGCATCCTGATACCACATTATAACACACCCATAACGATAACCTGACCCACACACACACACACCAACTTATTATGCTCTCTGTCAATGAAAGAGACCTAGTTTTTTTTTTCTTCCACAGTAGTTGTGTGTGCTCCTTTGGGCCATAAGTCTATTTCTAAATAGCTGCAGTTGTCAGCTGAAAGAAAAACATTGACCACTTARCCCTGCACTGGAAGTCAGCTATATATCAGTTCACATGGTCATATAGCAGATATTCAGTCAGTTTATACTCAGTGGATTTCCTAAAGTTGATAATTGCTGTAAGTCCAGTTCAGTTCATTTATATGACACCAACTGACAACAAAAATCATGAAACTACTATGGTAAAAGTAAACAACAAGCCTAATTAAAAATCAGTTATATAYTTCTATTATAATCTAATCAGATTTAGAAAATGACACTTTGTGACATAAAAGGAAATAACTCAACAGTTATAAATATGCTCATTAGAAAACTACTGTCAAACAAAGAGATGCTCRATTTAAGTCTTGACGCAATTTAAATAGATGCAAGGGAAATAGTTCACCCAGTGCTCACATTATTCACACACAGTCACACGGGCTTAGCATATTTTGCACCAGAACGTCGTGAAAGTTGTTCCGTTTATTTGGAATATAAAGTCAGATATTTTATTGCTGAGGCGCTAATAAAACCGCCACATGTTTTTAGCCTGCCTCGAATGGCCAATCAAGAAACTGCAGTTGTTGGCRTGTGGGCTAGCAGAAGCAGGTTTCACACGGTCGCATGCAGGCACTACTTAACCAAATYAGGAGAGGGTTTTAAAAAATGTTTTGCACAGGCTTGAGTATGAAATAAAGATCACTTAAAAAAACGCTTTAAGACCATTTTTATTTGAAGGAATTTCTTATATTGATTTGAAAAGTGCTTGTTGCACCCCAGATATAAGAGTAAAGTACAAAAAAACTGCTCATAAAAGTTCAGATTTTATATTTTGCCATTTCTAGCTCACATTTCAATTAAATTCATATTCAATTCAAATTCAAATTCAAAAATACTTTATTGATCCCAGAGGGAAATTAGGTGTTGTTTTAATGTCATTTGTGTTGTGCTGTATTGCATGCCATGTTAGCATTTAGTGAAAGCCACATGCTGGTTTGGCGCTCAGCTGGAAGTTACTGATCCACCAGCTAAGCTCGTGAAGCCGTGCGTTGCCGTACGAGTGTAAGACAATAGCTTCTGTAAAGCATCTCTTGCTGTTATATTGAGAGGGAGAGCAAGCCCCGGTTCTACACCTGTTGCCGTGGGCCATAAGGGACGAGCTATCGCCATCACTCTCATTTTTCACTCACCACTGGACCCAGGTTTTGACAAGCATGACCATATGATTATAGAACTTTAGTGCCCACGCTGATAAGGCCAACTTATACGTGACTAAATGCAGGAGCTTAGGGACTTTTCATTGTGCTCAAGGAGTGGTATGAATTTATCAGAGCTGCATGTGGACACTCRGGCTTTTAAGATTTTGATTCTAATTCCACATAAATTTTACTAAAGTGGAAAAAAATCTGCTGTAAAAAAAAGACTGTTGGGATTTTCTTTAATCTGCTGAAGTGTTTGTGTGAAGTTTCCACTTCATATTACGTTCATGTAAAATGTTGAGCAAATGCTTTGTTAAATGTGACTGATAAAAGGAGGATTTAATGTAAACAATTTCTGCAACTGTGCCTTAGCAGATTGAAATCAAAACTGGACAAAGTAAAYGAAAACTTTGTGCTTTGGTTTTGGATTGTAGAAATTAGCAGAAAGTGCATTCTGGTATAAAGAAATGAATTCTAGAAAAAAAAAACAATTAAACATCTTTGAAGTTATCAGATGGGAGCAGCTTTCTCYGCTTTTTCTTGGTGCATGAAGACGAAGCAAAACTGAGTGCAATTCAAGCCATCTTTAGCACAAACCACAGAAGAATAAATAATTGAATAAACTGGCAGTGGTTTTTAAAATACACTGGCAAATAAGTGCACAACAGTTGTTTTTTTCCTCCGTGTTGAATTGCTTCTAAAAAGCCTAAATCTTGTGGTGGAGTAAAAAGCAAAGGAGACCGAGACACTGGTTTTGGCTGCTTTAAATGAGCCTGGCTTGCATGTGCCTGTGAGGAACCACTGTCCTGGCAAACCACTTGGAAATACTGGGTATCAAACGGCAACAGGCCATCGTAACACATTACTTCCAGTGTGGCACAAGAACAAACATACTGAGCTCATTATTCTTTACTCGGAATGTGTTAGCCTTGAACTCAAACCACCTAACATTTTCATTTTTTAAGGACGAAACAAACAGTTTCTTGCAAGTTTTTCTCTAAAAATTACAAGGAGTTTTGTTTTGGTTTTTTTTTTTTTTTTACATTAATTTTGCAGAATTTGTACAAAAAACAGAGAAAAAAAGCTCTATTTAAATTGTTCGTTTGACTACAGTGTCTGTGTTTTCTTTCATCGTTTTTTAAATGTCTTCCTCCTTTTGGTTTTTRGGCAGACATGATCCAGCTCGTAGCGGGAGGCATGCTGGCTCACTGATTGATCTTTTGACCTTAAAGTGAGAAASCAAAACACTGACTAACAACAGGAATAACATTCATGGAGGTCTAGGCACATTTACACATTAACTGCACTTATACCATTAACAAAGGGTGGCACCCTGCACCGTGTTTTTCAAAAGGAGCAATAATATCGTGCAAACATACAATTTCTTATAAAGCAGCACAAATGGCACTTAAATACTTATAACATGGCGAGAATAACCATATCACATACACTGTTGTCACTCGACCCAGACACCGGTTGGACCGTCCAGCCGAGYTCCGCCGTAGCTGTGGTGGAGTCCATAAGTGTCTCTGTGGAGAAACAAAAACAAGAAGTTGAGTCAGACAATCTGCTGCTGTTCTTGAAAGAACGAAAACTGTGATGTATTTTGAAAAACAGAATTTAAAGTTAAAGCCACTTCAGAAAATTAAAAAAATATTTAAAGTGGGAAAATTTGACCAAATGTTATATTTTATTAGTATTTTAAGATTAACATGGTGCAGTTTTGTGCTACAGATTTAAAGGGGAAATATCATGTAAAATCAACCTTTTTGAGTTTTATATCATGTTATAATATTATACTCTCATAAAAAAAACATGCCCAAAGCCTTGCTTTAACTCATTTGTGCATGTTTGAGAAACCTTGCAGCGTTTTTAGGAAGCCATGCTGAGGAGCAAAACGACAGGTGGGGACCAGAAACGCCACTGGGACGTGTCTTTAAGCCGAACTTCCTCATGGCAGAGCGCCCGCCCCCTCCTCCCCACACACCTCGCCCATGACTCCTGCAGGCTCTCGGGTGAAAGTGAAACTTAAACTGTCTGCTGAGCTCTCAACGTTAGTTCTCACTCAGTGAAGCTCTTTTCAGATTAAAAATACCTTTGAGGAAATGTATTTTCAGATGCMAAGTAAACTGCATCATGGCAGCCCCCCCTCTCCCCCCAACCCCTGAAATGGGCAAGACAGAAGCGAAGGGGGTTCTTAAAGAGACAGGCCAATTTCAAGGCATTTAGAAGAGGAAGTGATGAGAAGATGTGTTTATTTTCTATTTAAACATAAAAACAGCATTTAATAACAGCTAAAGGTGACATACTTTATTATGGTATAGTATTTAAATGTATGTCTGAGAAACACATAATATTGGCCCTTTAACAAAACTAACAGTTACAATTGTGCTTTTCATTCTCTTTTTATCTAACTTTTTCATAAAAGCTCTGGGACACTCATGAGGTTAGGTGCTTATGTCTTTGAGGAAAACAGTTTTATGGAAATATAAGCTTCAATGGTAAAGGGAACACTGTTTATGACATAGATTAGCTGGTGGAAAGAAATACTTCCTGTACTTGGGTTAAAAAAAGCGCCTCGTCAGTTATGAGGGTATTGAYGGCATAAATCCCTCCACGCTTGGGCTGTATGTCTATCATATTCCTACTTCTTAGGTGCATCTTCCTTGCCACTTATCTCTCTGTACCCATGCCCCCATGTCTGTTTTCCCAGTCTAAACATGGTCTCCGCTCTGCTGTTCTCCATATGCTACGGAGAGCAGGTCTAATGAATTTCGCTAACTGATTTGGTCTGTGTCAGTCTTGCACTCCAGGGTTGAACTGCCGCAGATGGAGAGACCATTCATCAGCTTGAAGGCGTCAGCTGCAACTTCAAAATGTTGCAGAGGGATTTAGACCCCCCCCCCTCCCACTGACAAACACAGCTACTAATCTTAACATAAGTCACCATCAGCGACTCAGAAACAGGTCTGCTGGCTAGACAACTGCATGCCGTGACTCGTCACCGGTACGTGCAAGGGTTGACTGAACTGGAGATAATGCAAAGACTTAGGTGGAAGCAGAACTTTGAAGAAAAAAAATCTAAGTTAACAAAGTCTAATGAAAAGTAAAAGTTATTTAAATAGGTAATGGCTCAAATAAGTGACAAGAGCTGTCATGATTAATGGGTTTTTGTTTGCCCTCCAAGTGTTCAGCTCTGTACAAGCTTGCACGATGTTTAGGAGATTTCCACTTGTTTAATAACCTTGGCTTCCCTTTGATTTAAACTCTGAATGAAAACTCAGCTTTTAATTAGCAGGCTCCACATGCATTGGTGTATTTCAGACCTTTTTTTTTTTTTTTGCTGACTTTCAGAATCTCACCACTACTCAAAGGACATAATACTAGATTTCACATTCTATTCAGTTATCACAAAGCCCAAATCTTATAATTAGGCAGATGAGACTGCAATTGAGCAGCTATTGATAAGCTTCTGTGTGACTCAGAGTCGAGCAGTCTACATGGGTGTTAGGCAGTGAAATGGTAATTATCCCCCATAATGATAACGATAATTAGTGGGGGAGTAAAGTGAGAATAATGAACCCCCTCTGCGGCAGTTTAGAGAGTGTTGTGGGGGGAACAGGGAGCAAATTTCTGCAGGAATGTTAACGCTGACTGAATGACACGTCATCCTCTCCACCAACCCCGTCTGTATTTCCACACATTCCCTTTGTTTCTGTTTCTAATCTGATTCACTCGCTCTTCTGTTGCTCCTCAGTGACGCTCCCTTCACACGGATTCTGTCCTCCTCCTTTTACTTGTCTTACAGACCTCCGCTCCCTTCCTTGCCCTTTTGTTGTTTTTGTTCATGCGCTGTCTCTCTTCTGCTATCAGTGACCCACATGYGAGACAAGTAGTACCTCACTGTGAAAGACTGATCACTTTTCCTCCTCCTGCTGTCTACACTTGAGTCTCGGCAGCCACACAGATTTATTACCTCCCACGAGGCCGAGCAGCACATAGCACACCACTGTCATCTGCAGCCTCACTTTCAGTCGGAACACCCAGCCATGGCAGAGTGTCCAGCAAAGACAYGCTGGGATGAAGACCTGACAGACAGTACAGGTTCTCATGGAGATGTAAGATAATAAATTTAGTTGTTTTCTTTTGTGGCCTTTACATGTGATTGTTTTAATCTTGCGCCCTAAAAATCAAGTTACCATTTGTTTTACAGGAAACCAGCTCCRGGAATACACATGATCTCCAAAAGAAAAAGGCCACATTGTGGTAAACAATCTTACGTTGAAGTCCTTTAATATGTTGGTAACATGAATGCTTTACAGACCTCACACAATCTCCATGAAGGATTTAATTAAAAACAACAAAAGATTTATGCAAAGTAATGCTCTGCAAACACATTAACTCAAGAATACCAGGTGCAGCCTGACTCAACTGAACCAAATAAAGCGTATCAATCTAAGTATTTCCATTTGAAACGGGTGTTTCCTGAAGGCCTTTATAGCCTTTGCTGTACATGTAAGTAGAACCTTTCCTTTTTCTTGAGAGCTTTTTGTAACTTCAAGAGCACTCAAAGGGAGACTCAGTATATTAAACTGATTAAGTTCTTGGACTGAGGGCTTGTTTTTTATATATTTTTTAAAGCTAAAGAACTTACATCTATTTTGCATTTTTTGGCCATGAGTCTACTTGTAAGTTTAAAAATCTTATGAATAAAGTACTGCAGAAATAAAATTTAGGAATAGTGGTAAAGAAACATTAAAAATATCTTGTTCTTTCCCATTTTATTCATTGTTAAATAAAAAAAATCATTAATGTGCACTGTCCTGATTAAATAAATAAAAGACTTTAGGCTAAATTTATGAAAAGCTATTTACCATGTACGCCTGTTTGTTTCCCAACAGAAATAGCTAAAGTCATTGAAAAYAGCTCAACAATGGTGAAGTCCGTGGAAGAAAATTTCGGGATTGAGACGTTTGACAATTATAATGTACTGTTACATTTTAACYATCTGATTTCTTTAGTAAAGTATGGAGATAAAAGTGTTTTGTTTACACTGCCTATCAATATATCTGGACAACGAAGAGTAAAGTCTTTCATACTGTACAATTTGACGTAGTTTTGAATTACCTTTTTTTTATTGAACACTTCTCTCATACATGAACAACATGGCCTTTCGAAATACACTCCACACAATTAAACACTATGAGCCACACTTTTTCACCCAGTTGATTAAAAAAACTGTCTCAGTGCAAATTTTATTGTCTGATAATGGACCGTTTGTCGTGTAATGAATTTGTTCAGCAGAATGTTTATTTTAGAAGGACACATCCAGTGCTAAAACATCTGGTGACAAATCGCAGCTTCTCACATTTCCACCTACAGCATTAACTGTCTTTGCATTATTTGTGTGACAGTTAAGTGATGCATAAAAGTGTTTTATCTTGTTGGAGCTCATGGGAAAGTGGTCTCCATGTTGGCAGTCATACAGAAGCAATCCTTCACTGACTACAAAGCAATATTTTCAAATAAATATGAAAGTGCATATTAACAATACAACAGTGAATAAATATTTTTCGACTTGACAGCCTCAACTGTAGAAGAACTTATGAATATGCAATGTGCCCTAGAAGTCTTAGAAAAGCCTACTAGGAGCAGAGTGTTTCCTCCAACACTTCCTGGGACTAAAGTAGAGAGTTTAGAGCTGATCTTAGAGAGAGCTCTCAAGTAAGAGGCTGTTTAAAGTGACAGGCGATGAGAGGAGAAAAGGGGGCCGCGGTACTATAACAACTCTCTTCTTCTCTAAGAGGGGTCAACGCTGCATCTCGGCTTTCTAAAGAAAGCAGCTGCATTTTCAATGAGGAACACAGAGAGGACATGTTCACAGAAAAGCCATTTTGGTGCAAACAACTAGTGCAAGTAAGAAAATAAACAGCAAATACCGACAAACAAGACTTCTGACCCAAATTTATTTGTTAGTCATTGTGTTTAGCTCCATCAGGGTCGGTTATTTTATCCTGTTATTTATGTTGTTTTGCAGAATGTTTACTCTGTGTAAAATCTGTTCACTTTCTCTCAACAGAGGTCTGTTTCCTTGCATTTGCGTTATTTCTTCTTCCGGCAAACCCTGTTTTTTCAACATTTGCAGCTGGTTTACGGTGGTGACGGACAATTTATGGTTTGGYCAAAGGCCATAAATCCCAGTTTGACAGCTGAATGACAAATTAAGTGGGGTAGATAGACAGGTTCCAGCAGTCTGGGTGATGGATGCCTGCTCTGTCATGATAAATATCTGTACAATACCTGTGTACCTTTTCCCTGGACTGGCAACCCTACTGTATGTGCCAGAATAGAAGGCTGCTGGACCTCCTTTTGTTTTATCAAAGATGTTTCTTTCATCAGAAAGGCTTTTTCAATTTCTGTTTGGGAGATTCAGACTCAAAAATTGTAGTTGGGCCTCCGATGACCTTTTCAGTGTCATATATTCAAGCCAGAAACTCTTAATCAAGTATCAGATAGTGTTGAGAGTTGT